GTCTCAAGTTGCTGTTTATCCCGTAGGGAGCCTTGCTCGTCTCTCCACCTTGAGGCTGGTTCTCTTCAGATTCACCCTCAGCCGTGGTCCTGATGTCTTTATTGTTCTGTGCTGTCTTCCTTGCTGGCACAGTCCTTCTCTGGTTGTATAGGGACTTCTATCTAATTTGGCTGTCTATAATAAGGTGATTCTTGAGCTGGCCTAGCAGGATAAACTGCCGTCTTGTTGAAGGTTTTACTTTTCAGGGTTGTTTTGTTTTGTTTTGTTTTGTTTTTTGGGACAAGGCCTTGCTATGTAGTCCAGTCTGAGCCTTGAACTCATTTTGTAACCCCTGCTGGCTTTGAACTCTTGAGAATCCTCCTGCCTCAGCCTCCTAAATGCTGGGATTACAGGTGTGCACCACTGTGCCCCACTGTCTGTTTCAGGTTTTTAATACTCAAGCTAAGCCCCATTCTGAGAAAGTCATTAATAGTTCTTCCAGCAGGGTGGCACGGAGCATTTTCCCTCTCTTGTGCCCAGTTGGAAAACTTTGGGAAGGACTGTGATTGGCTGAGCTTGGGTCATATGTTTGCATTTGGGGCAGTATTATGATGGACAGCCTCCACCTCTACTCACAGGGGAGGAGCAGTTAGTGGTCTCCTCAAGGAGGAGGAGTTTTCACAACATGGAGGGGTGCCTGGCTGTGAGACAAGAGCTTTGATTCTTTTATTTCATGGGTAACAAAGCATGCAGAGGAGCTGTAGTCTGATGAAACAGTTTGCATGCCAAAGCAGAGGGAGCTCCGCCACAGGCCTGACTGGCTCAGAAACATGAACATGAACCTACCCAGGAATCCTGTGTTTGGTTTATAGAGCAACATATGTGACAGAGAACAGACTCCAAAGCCCAAGTAGTTTAAAGCCATTTATCAACACTCTTCGGCCTGCCTGCTTCTCCAGACAGCATGACAGGGCCTCAGGAAAGCTGCATAACCTCTTCAAGTCTCAGTTTCCTCCTCTATGAGAAATGGGAGCGATGCTGGCATGACACGGGCTCTGGAGCATGGACTGCACAAGGCTTGTGAAACACAAGCCAAGCAACCAACCAAGGCTTGTTCTTGGTAAACCATTTTGATGGTGATGATGACACAGTGATTTCCTGTGACCTATCAGTGGGGTCCCTCCTTGCTCAGTTAAATTGCCCTTCTGTGGCCACCAGGAGGCCAGTTGGGGCTTTACACAGCTCCCTGGGGGTCTGCTAGGCCCTTGCTCGCTGAGAACATCCCTCATCTCCTCCTGTCTAACACACAGAGGAGTTGTGTTCCAGGCAGACCTGGGAGCAGCAGATGCTTGAGCCGGGTGGGACAGTAGGGGTGGGGCCAGGGCCAGCTGTCCAGCCGGAGCACAGCCTGGAGGAGCAGGGGGAGCCGCTGCATCCCACCCCCATTGGCCTGTATGCTGGTGATCTCAGTCCGTGCAGCTGGGTGGCTTCTCCCTTGAGCCGTGCCCACAACATTGAGGATCTGTGCCCATCTGCTCATCTTACTGCTGAGCCTGTAAGCCCTAAATGTCATTACTCTCCCATTCCTCGAACAAGAAGAAAGTTAACAGCCTGAGAAAAGGAGCTACTTCACTTTATTTGGCATCCAGTCACCATCACCCGAGCAAGGCGCTCACATGGGGTCTGCTGAGGGCGAGGCGGGCATTGCTGCCAGTGTGCTTGGAGCAGGTCCAGCCCTGTGACAAGTGACAAGTGCTGTCACAGCAAGAGGACAGAGGCCAGAGGAAGGCACCTCGTTAAGAGTCACTTGCTGATTAGGATCCATTCTGTGTGGCCCCAGAGGGTGAACTTGGGGACAGAAATGACAGAAAATATTTCAACTCAAGTGAAAGACTGATAACAAAAATTTAGGGCTAACATAAGCGCCTGCTTGGCTAGTGCAAGGATATGAGTTCAATCCCCAGTAACAGAAAAAGTTTTAAAAACTTAAAAATTTAAAAACTAATTTAGGGCTGTGGGAGAAGGAGTTGCTTGCTTTATGAGGCAGTGGGCTGTCTATCTATAGTAACTGCGACTCTTCTGGTCCTCCTTTTAGAATACTCAATGGAGAGAGGAGTCCCTAGATGGGGGGCTGAGACAGGTACTGACTCAATTCTTTCCAACTCCGAGATCCCAGAAACCTGTGACAGGAGAGTCTGGAATGCACTTCTCTCTCTCCAGCTAAGTGGGAGCTCCTGGCTGAGGGTGGCTGCTAGCCCTGGAGAAAAGTAGCATGGTTCATCTTCGTCATCTTCATCATGCTAGCTGCATGGTCATGAGGGTTCCACTTTGCAGGCTCCTCTGAAGAGCTCCTGCAGCATCCTTGATGATGGTTGTCCTCCGAGTGGGCAGGGATGTCTTGTGGGCTTGAAGCTGTACTTAAAGACTTCTAGCCACTGGCTTCTTCAGTAACAGAGCCACAGTTCCAGGGACTGCCACACCTGGCCCGAGCAGTGGCTTGCTGAAGAGGGACAACCAAGGACTAGATCCTGGGTCTCGGGGATGGTCACATCTTCTCTTCAGTGGGCTGTGGAGAGGCCACTCACCTGGTGAAGGGTGGCTGAGGTGGAGGGAGAAGGGTAGCCAGCCCTGCCAGCTAAAGCATTCAAATGCTTCCCTGCATCTCCTGAGGCCTCAAGGCTTGCAGGCCTGTATAAATGCACAGCATGTCTAGGCTCTGAACTTCCCACGGGCATGGACAAGGACTGTTCCCTTCCACAGCCCACCCTCCCCGCTCCGCACCATGGTGGGTGCTTGCCCAGGGTGCAGGACATTGAGTGAATGATTAGAAGGACTACGGTCACCCTGGATTTGACAGAAGCGAACCTGGCAAGGAGGCACCACTGAAAGGGCCAAAGGCCCTACTCTATGCGTCTGGCTGCAGAGTTTCTGAGCTTGGCCTTCACAGTCTTTGCTCTTTGGGCCTCAGTTTTCCAACTGCAGAACTGGCACATTAGTATGCCAGTTCTGGATAGGAGGCAGATTAGGCTGGATAGGAGGCAGAAACAAAAGCCATGCTTTCTGGCTGAGCTTTAGAACTCAAGGGTCCTCGAGGCTGCAGACTTACTCAACCTCAGGCCTGTGGACATGCTAATGAAGATCTCTATTGGGGAGCGGGGTGCCAGGGTATTGCAGTGGGGTCACTCAGCTCAACAACCCAAATGAAGCCTAGCTCAGGGCAGGGCTGGGTGCCAAGTCAGATGTGGCTCCTGCTGTAAAGAACCAGAGTCAAGTGGGAGGGATGCACAGGCAGACACAATAACAATCCAAGGAGAAGGAAGGAGGGAGATGCAGAAGGACAAAGTGCCTGCAAGCCTGCATGAAGAAAAGAGAGGGATTAGTGAGAGGCATGAAGGCTTCCTGGAGAAGGAACCTTTCAGCTGAGCACTTGGGATAGACATGATGGGGGAGCAGAGCCAGTGAAGGCACAGAATGTCCAAAAGTACAGGGATGAGGTGGCCTGGGAACAGAGCTGGGGTGGAGTCCCAGGTAGGTCTGGTACTCACAGGGTGCAGAGAGCTCATCTCTAGACAGGAGACAGCATCCCAGCATCTGCAGGGCTTCATACTCTCATCTGTGACCTTGTGCAGTGACTCAGTGCCCTTGTCTGTCAAGTGAGGATTATGACACCTACCCTTCAGGGCTGTGAGGAATTCCGCAAGAGCATGTGTGAAGCCTAGGAGACAGAGTTTCCTGATTCTCATGGCTTTTGGTTAAGGTGCAGACATCCCCAACAGAAACTAGAATGGCAGTTTGTTAACTGCTTACATGATCAGTACGATTGAGATCACAGAAAGAGCTTTTTGCAAAGGTTGTGACAGGAAGGGGGCAGTGGAAGGAGAAATTTGTGACCCTGGGGACAGGAAAGGCCAGGAAGGGAATGAGGATGATGATCACCATCATCAGCTTCTAAGTCTGTGCTGCAAGCTACCCTAAACTCAGTAGGTCTGTTTGAGGCAGCAGAAAAAAATGGGGTCCCGTTCTAGGGAAGACTGCTGTCACAGTCTTAGTAAAGAAGATGTGAGTGGGTGGGTGGACAGGAAGAGGACAGGGACATGCGTACTGCCCTTGGTGGAGTCTCAGCTGGGCCCTGCCGCAGTGGAGGCCAAAGGAGGTAGGAGGAGGGAGAGGGGATTTCACCATCCAAAGTGGAGAGTCTACATGAGCCATGATGCGTAACTCTGGAGCCCCTCACAGGTGCCTGGAATGCCACCACCGCTAGGGCTGGACCTCTCCCAGTGGGTGTTAGTGACCGCTCTGCTTTGGTGTCAGCCCCAGGCTAGTATTAGAAAGTGAGTCTGAGGTGAGGGGTTGGGGGGGCAGGCTGCGACTGTGACCTGCAGGACTCTGTCTTGTCACACAGTGAGGGGTTTAAGGTGCTGAGCCTCAGTCTGCTCTGCAGCTGTCCCTGGACACAGAGATGCCCATAGGGTGCTGCTGTGTCACCTCGCTGTAAATGGAGCAAGACAGGGATTAAAACAGCTCTTCAGGGAAAGAAAAAGAAACGAAATGCTAAGCCGTCATGGGGGCCTGGCTTCTGCAAGTGTGTCCAAGGCACACTTCTGGAATCTGTCGAGAACTCATGCTGGAATTTCGGGTTAAATTAGCTCTTCAGTGAGGGCCACAAAATTGAACCCAACCATCCTATGATTTGTTAGAGGTTAGAGTTCAAGTCTTTTATAAAATTCCACATGTAATATTTTGGGACTGTAATGCTGGGCATGGTGGTGCAGGCCTGTAATCCCAGCACCCGAGAGGCTGAGGCAGGAGGATTGCCTCAAATTTGAGGCCAATCTGGGCTACATAGTTCAAGGTCAGCCTGAGCTACACAATGAGATCCTGCCCCCTCCAGCCAAAAAAAGATTGTAAGACTGTTTTCCAAGCATGTGAAATTCTAAAAATTCCCCATTCTCTTGTAGAAGGCTCCAGTCTGAAGGCAGGTGGCTGGGATCCCTGATTCCCTCAAGAATAAGGAAGTCAAGTAGAGGTTCTGTGGGTGGGCTTTATTTTAAGGACTGTGGAAGTCTTTTCAGGCCATGCTGATGGAAATGAGGCCCGCAGGAAAACAGGTAGGAGCGGGCCTGGGTACCCAGCCCCACCCTGCTCTCCAGGGCTCAACAGAGCTTGGCTCTGAGAATGCAAAGGCAGGAATGTGGGCGCAGGGACTAGAAAACCGCTATGACCGAGGCAACCCTCTTCTGTTCCTCTCAGCAGACTCGCAGTCATCTTAATTCTGTCCCTCCCCTGTCAGTTTTCTAGTGGCCTCGTGCCGGTTTCCAGAGTCCTTTGCCATCTGGAATCAGGTCCTTCGGCCACATTTGGCCTTTGGAGTGCCAAGGTTTCAAAGTCCCCATTCACAATTCCTGAAAAACAATCTGATTGGCTCCGCTTACAAGCCGATGGCAGGGCGGGCCCAATCACCTGAGGCACGGGGCGGGGCCTCGCCGGCGGGGGGCGGGGTCTGGCCTCCGGGCTAGCGGCTCACACCGAGCAGGCCCGGCGGCCTCGCTGTTCCCCTGCGCCATCTCGTGCGAGCTCCATGGTCTCGAACAGCAGCCGCACCAGCGCCAGCCGCCCCTGTGCCACCAAGGCGCGGGCCATCCCCAGCACCTCTCCGGTGTGGCCGCGCCACACGCGCTGCAGCTCCTGGCGCAGGCTGGCAGCGGGGTACTTGCCCTGGGCGCGGCGCAGCCAGGCGTCCACCTCGCAGCCCAGCTCGCCGTCGCTCATCTGCGCCTGGCTCCACTGTGCCAGCAGCGCCTCGAGCAGGCAGCCGAAGCCCTCGGGGCGGCTGGAGCCTGCGTCGTCCAGCTCCACGGCGCGCTTGAAGCAGGCCGCCGCGTTGGCGTCCTCACCTTTGATGCGCAGGCACTTGCCACGCAGCAGCTGCAGCTCTGGTAGCGCGGCGCCCAGCTCCGACTCGCCGGCCTTGGCTAGGAAGACCAGGGCCTGGTTTAGGGCTGCCTCGTCCACCGCCAGCAGCTCCTGCACGGCGTCCACACCCATGTAGTAGTAGACCTGGGGGTGGGAGGGGGCTAGGCTGAGGCTCCTCTAAATTACTCCCCTAGTCATTAGTCCCGAAGCCTGTATTCATGTAAACACCCCCTCCCCACGTTGTGTTTCCTGGCCCCAGGAAAGAGACAGTGTTGGAATTCCGGGTGTACCAGGTCCAGTGTCTCTACTTCTAGCCATATAAGCTTGAGGGAGTCCATTCCTGCCCATTGGGGTCTGTGTGTGCCATCTCTTGCTGACCGCTGCTGAGATCGGGAGGCACTTCTGGATAGAGTACAGCTTCATACTTAGCAGGTGCTCAAACACCAGGCCTCCTTACTTGCTCCACACATTACAGCATAGCCTTGCCCCACAGGCTGGGGGAGCCGGGGGAGCTGTGCTCCTACTCTTGTCAGAGCCTTTGGTGCCGGCTCAGTCCCACAGGCTGTTCCTGGTGAGCCCTCTGCCAACCAGGCCAAGCAGCTGCTTACCTGGCCAATGTCTAGGTAGGTCCTGAGCCCTGGGCACACTCTGACCACTTGCTCGAGGTCAGCCTTAGCGTGGGCCAGGTGGCTCCTGTCAGGCATGCCTCCGAGCCCTGCCTTGGCCCGCTCCAGGTCATGCAGGTAGGCTGTGGTGTGGATCTGCGACAGAAGGCCGGCTCAGAGAAGGTGCTCCGGACAAGGCCTCCACCTCCATCCTGCCCCCAGCCCAAGCCAGTTTCCTCAGCAGCAAACAGGGGCAGAGAGTGTGACACAACAGAAGCCCCTGCCCTCACAGGACTTGTACTTTAGTAGGGAGAGAGACAGAAAATGTAAGTAAACAGTATGTTAGGGACTGGTCGATGTTAAGAAGCCTAAGGAAACCAGGAAAGAATGGAGAGCACTGGCACTGGCAGGGCATTGCTGATATTTTCAATAAGATGGTCTTCAGAGGCTGCCTTTTTTGATGTTGTTGTTGTTGAAGACAAAATCTCGCTTGCCTCAAGCTTCTGATCCTCCTGACCAGCTGGGATTACAGGGCGTGTGCCCCAGGCCCCTGTCAGAAGCTGCCTGTTGGGGTCCTGCCTCAAGGAAATTAGGCAGGAGGAGAATCAGAGAGCTGGGAGAGGGACACTGTGGGCACAGGCCTAAGCCAGGGGTGCTGGAGTGAGAGCTGAGCAGCAGGAGTGAACAGGACCCGTGTCGCTGGGTCTGGCCACGGTGTCCACACACACCATGTGCGTACCTCCTCCCTGTGACCTTTGGAGTGAGGAGGGAGTGTGACCACCGGGGAGCGTAAGTCCAGGATGCCCACTACTTGGCTACAGGACCCTGGAAGCTCACTGCTTTCCCGTGCCTGGGAGGCCTCAGGTATAGACCAGCTTTGTTGAGATTCTTGTGAGGGTTATAGCATAAGTGAGTGAGAGTAAATTGATGTCATGTAAATGTTTTACGGCTTGCTAATATGATTAATATCTTTATCATAATGATCAGCACATCAGCTATAGTAAAGGAATTTCCTGCCTGACAAAATAATTAAACTACTGAGACCAAGAATGGGAGCAGATTTGCCACTAGGTTGATGGAAGATAGGGAAAGCGGATGGGGGCTTTGGCAGCTCTGGTCCATGGGGAGGGCAGGAGGGAGGCGGGGCTCTCCTGAGTGTTAAATGGAAATGCTGACAGTGGTGGGCAGTGCATCAGCTAAAAATACACCCAGTGACAGCCGCCAGTCCCTTCCCAGTTCTTAGAATGTGCACACTGCTCGGATTTACACACAATCTGGTGACTCCCAGAACAACTTTAGTCAAGCAGGGATGGTCACCCGAGGTCCACAGTTAAGGAAACAGAGGATGTGACCCCAGGCAAAAGGACTAGGTCCCTGAACGTGTGAGTGGTGGTGTGGGGTTTGAACAGGGGCTGCCTGGGCCAGGCCAGAGCTCAGTGCGAGACATTAATCCACTGTCAGATGCTGACTTCAGGGTGACCTCATTTGGCCTCTGACCCTGTCTAAGGGAGGGGTGATGAGCTGCATTTTACAGTTTGGGGAATGCAGGTCTGGAGGGTTGGTGGCTTGCAACCGGTCCCGAAGCAATGGGTGGAGAGGGCAGATCTTGGCTTTGGTTACTCTTCTCCACCAGAGCTAATCCGGACTCTCCTGGTAGCCCCTGGCCAGGCACTGAGCTCAGGGTCTCTGCATTCTCACCTCAGCAGCTGTGTACCTTGAGGAGTTCTGGGCTCCCCACTGCTGTGAAGTTGCAGGGCCTTTGGGCTTGGGGGTCAGGGTCTGGCCCTGGCCCTTGGTCTTTTGATAGAGGTGTGAGCTTCAGGGTGACCCACCTTGGCCCTTGTGCAGTATGCCTGCCAGTTGAGCTCTGGATCTCCTAGGACGTCCAGGGCCATGTTACAGGTTCCAATGGCCATGTCCTGCTTTCCTAGGAAGTGGAAGATTTTGGCCAGGCGATTGAGGATGAGAGGTCGGTCCTTGGCAATCTCGATGGCCTAGGTAGGGAGGGGGTGGGAGCGTGCCATGCGTCTGCTCACTCAGGTGATGGAACCCAGTGCCTTGGCATGACACCCCTGGCACTTAGTTCCTGGTCACAGTCATGGTCGCAGACCTTTCTAGGTCCTGCAACCCTCCCTTCCATGCCCCCAGCTTTGCCTGGGGCAGGTGAGGGAAGCACCTCTTCCACTTATAGGGTCCTAGCAGGGCCTGAGTACTTCTCCCACATTGGGATCCACTGCTGCCTGTCCTGAGTGACCTGCCTTAGGCCACCTAGCTGTGGGCAGAGCTGGCAATGAGGCCCTGCCCACCTTCTGACCAAGTCGACTTGTGGTGGGGTGGGCAGGGCGGAAACAGTGGGCACACAGGCCTTGGGAGCTGTGCAGCACAGGGAGGTTGTTGGTGTTAGGCAGAGGAAGAATCACAAGAAAAGCTTCTGACAAGGAGAGAGAGAGAGTGGGGCTTGAAGTCAGGGACCCTCCTGGGTGGGCCGCACAGTGAGTGGTGACATGAGCTTTCAGGGCACAGGTGGCTAGGGATGCTTACCTTGCCAAAGCAGTCCAGGGGGTCGGTGCCTGAGTACCCACAGTCGTGGATGCCCATGGGGGTGGTGGAGAAGGTGTCCTTTCTCTCCAGCAGCATCCCGAGATAGCACCAGGCCAGAGCTGGGAGAGCGGTGGGAGGAGCCAAGGATGGATGGGGCCAGCTTCCACCGGAAGTGTCAGCCCCCACGAAGACAAGAAAGGGACAGCAGCAAGAAGCCCTGGACAACCCAGGAAGTGTCAAAGGTGGGGCAGAGGACATGCACGGAGAGAAGGAACACATCCAGGGGCTATCCTCTGTGTACGAGATCACCTGGGGGCCGTTTCAGGGGTACAGCTACCCTCACAGTGCTGGCTGTCTGGCCCTGGAGGGCATGGCTCTGCTCCAACAGAGCCAGCCTCGGGTGAACACTGAGGGAAGACAGGGTGAGAGAGAAGGAAGTGGGGAACCGAAAAGGGCGACAGTGCAGGAAGCTGCAGGCTAGTGACAGGGCCAGGGCCAGTGGGCAGAAGCCAGTATACCAGCCCTGCCTTGGGGGCCCTACCTCGCTGGCCGGGGTTGGAAGCCTTGAGCACTTGCTGGAGCAGAGCCAGCGTGCGGTTGAAGGCAGGAAGCCTCTTCTGCTCCTCGCCGCCCAGCTCCAGGAAGATGCTGTCCAGCCTGGGTCGACAGGGCGCTGTGGCTTCAGCACCTCCTCACCTCCCCAGCTTGCTGCCAGCCCTTCCCTCACCTGGGAGTCCCCTACCCCTCTGTCTCACCCCTGCCTGGTGCTAGCCTCAGTCTGCTGGCCACACCTTTGCCCCTAGCATCCCAGCCCTGCTGCCCCTGGCCTGACCTGATGAAGAGCGTTGCCATGGTGAAGTACCAGCCCCTTTTCTCCTCCGCAGGGATCTAGGGAAGCAGAGAGTGGTGCCACTGTTATGGGGGTGCTCTGGTCCCTGAACCCCGAGAGGTGGCAGGGCCAGCAGGAAAGGTGTTGGTCTTGAACATCCTGGTTACAGGCCCAGCTCTGCCAGGGTCAGGCTGGTGGCTTTGGGCAGGTTGCTCAGCCCTCCGGCCACAGAGGATCTGATGAGACGAGCCAGGCACCCCAAAGCTCAGTGGGACTCCTTTCCTCGCCTCCCTGCACACAGCCCTGCTTTTCAGCTGGCCACGTGCTCCAACACTGCCACCTCTCTGCCTTCCAGCTACCGTATCCCAAGCAGCTTCTGTGCATGCCGTGTGAGCCCAGCTCTGCGGAGCCTGGAACCCTGCACTGTTTTTCCATTGTTATTCTTGCCAGCCTTTCTGGGTGTTTAGAACAACTTGGGCACCAGATAAAATATTTATGCTGTTATTTATGGTAGTATCGGCTCTTGCCTTGGGAAGGAATTTTAATGAAAACCAATAAAATCCCCAGTGCATATCGGCAGCTCTGCCTGGGCTCCACCCCTCCCTCCATCTTCATCTCCTGTGGATCTTCTGCCTTCCCTGCCCCCCTGGAACCCCCAAACTGCTCCACCCACCCTGGCAGCGAGCAGCTCAGCCAGCTCCCTGAGCCCTCACGCACGGCCTAGGTGATGAAGCTTTGAGAGGAGCTTACCAGCCAGCTGGGGAAACGGACCCAGGCATTGATGCCCCTGCCCTGGATGGAGTGCCAAACACCTGTCACCTTGACCGCACAACCAGCAGAACACGCCAAGGCCCAGAGAGTTAAAGTGATTGCCCGAGGTCACCCAGCTTGAGTAAAAGAGTGGGAATTAAATACCGTTTGGTGCCAAAGCTCATGTGCCCTTTGTTATGCCAGGCAGCCGAAGGCTGCAGCAGGAGGCCGTCCCCTGAGTGAAGTGCACCCAGGGTGAGCAGCGTGGACAGGCCAGGCCCAGCCACTGGTGTGATTTCTGTGATCCCTGGGCAAGAAGCTGCACTTCAGAGGCTTAGACAGGGGCCAGGGCATCCCAGATGCAGGCTTTGGTATGAGCAGAGGCCTGGGGATGTGGCGCCAGCAGCCTGGTGGGCAGGGAGAGCAGTGTGTGTGAAAGAGGAGAGGTCCACACTGGCTGGGGAGACCCCGGGTGGACTTAGAGGCCTCTGTGATGAATCCACTGAGTCCTATGAGTGCCCAAGAGGCTGCACTGGTTGCACTTCTCAGCCCATTCCTTCCAGAATCTCCTTTGTGTGGCTCTGGCTGGGCAAGGAGGACAGGAGAGGAAGGGTGGGTTCCCTCTTGAGGGCACTTGGTCTGGCAGGAAAGACAGACTTAAGACTCGCAGAGGAGCTGTCTGAAAGTTCCCGCTCTGGAAGTTCTCCGAGGCTTCCCAGCAGAGGCAGTGCCGGAGCAGTGCTCGGGGATGAGCAGGACCACCCGAAGGGCACAGGAGAAGAGGCATCAGGGAGGATGAGGTGTGAATGTGGCATGTCGGGATCTGCATGGAGCCCGTGGCAAGGGGTGCAGAGGAGCCAGCAGGGCACCTCCAGAGGCCCTGTGTCAGCCTCAGGACTCGAGCTCATCTGCGGGGCAGTGGGGAGCCACGGGAGGTTGCAGACTGGGGAGCCCCAGATCCGGTGTGCTCCTCCATCCCCATCACCTCACAGGGGCTCCGGTACCCAGGTGGGAATGTGCACTGTGCGAGACTTTGCTGCAAACGCTGCTGTCTGGAACGTAAGGACTCGAGGCTCCTCCAATGAGTGAGGAGCATTTCCCCAAGCCAAAGGCAGGGGTAGGGAGCTGGATGACCCTATCTGTGCTCCTTCCACAGAACGGATCTATGACACCCCTTACAGGCCGCTCTGACCAGAGACCTTGACATGGGCCGCCTGCTGTCAGCATGAGCCAGTATTTCTGACTGAGGCTCGCTTTGGGGCTGGCTACACAGTCATGGCAGGGAGGAGAAGGACCTGCTGCCACCCTGCTCCTGGCCAGGGGAGGCCTCCGCGAGAACAGGAGGTGTGACAAGGAGGGCAAGACACCCTTCATCCACAGAGGAGGAGACGCCACGGGGGCTGGCCATGAGGAACTTCTGGCCTGGGTGCAGCCGAGCAGGACCAAGGCTGTCCTGGCAGCTGCTTTGTCCACTGTGACCTGCTTCAGTGCCCAGGGGACAGTGAGGTCTCAGGCCTTGAAGTATCACCTCACCCCAGGCCCTCATTCTCCAGGACACAGGCCCCAGTGGGGTCCCAGATGGTTTCTTTCCCCACAGATCCCTGTGCCTGGGGTAATATGCTGTCCTTGGGGCTCCTGGCACAGAGCCACCCTCTTGTTTGGTATTCAGACCAACAGAAATTAAGTCATGTGCACAAACTGCACAGTTCGTGCATGACAGCTGGGACATAATGCTCATGCTGTCGTGGTCTTCGCCCCAAGGTTCCTTGTCTACAACATGCAGTTATCTGTCCCTGCATTAAGTGACTGAGGACACTGAGGTGACTTTACCCAAAGTCCCCCACTAGTGTGAACCAGTGGTCCCCTATCCTTGAAGAGCATGTCCTGAGTCCTTTTCACTGAGCAGGCGATCTCGCCACCTGGTGGCAGCATGTCTGAATTGCAGGAGCAATTCCTAGGGGTTAACTCAAAGACTAAAACTGATTTTTATTTTATTTTGTTTTTCAAATCCATTTTATTTCAAGGAAAAAAAGAAAAAAAAACCTAAAACACAAATTCAAATCGCGTCAACCAGGGGTCAACAAGGTACATTATATTGCACTGTCGCCCCCAAATCACTCACCCAGAGCACATCTGCATTCAGTTGCCTGAACAATACCAGCATACCTTTCTCTTCAGCGAACTCACAGAAATCAGTAGTATAACTATCTTAGTTTTTTTAAAAAATACATATGTTGTTTCTTTCAGCTTCTCAATGAGACAATATGATGTAGAACTGATTTTTTAAAAAAGCCTCTTGTGCTGGTACCTGTAATCCCAGCACTCTGGGAAGCTGAGGCAGGAGGATGACAAGTTTGAGCCAGCCCAAGCAACTTAGTGAGATCTTGTCTCAAAAGTGGGGAGGCTGGGGATGCACTCAGTGCACAGGCCCTGGGTTCAGTCCTCAGTGCCTGTGGAAGGTGGGGTAGCCAGCTAGCTAAGAGCCATTTGTGTGACAAGTCCCAAACATCGTTCAGCGATCCCTTGGAGAGTGACGTCTGCCACTGAGGCCACCTAGTATGTGCAGGGTGGACTTAATGAGGTGAGAAGATGGATTCGGAGGCGCAGGCGTGCTGGGCTTTAATCTTGCATTTCTGCCTGACCTCAAGCTAGTGGAGGCTTTCGATGTGGGGGTATCCCGGCCTGAAAAGGGGCTGTCTCTTTAAAATCCTTCTGATTGTCACAGAGGCAGCAACTGAAGCCGTTACCAGGGTAACCTGACAAGCCACAGTGTTAAATTAAATTAAAAGGCCTCTGGCTGCCCCTCCCTCTCTCTCTCCTGGAGAATGAAGTTGCCCTGAGACCTGCACAGGCTTCAAGGACCTGTGCGCTGCTCTGCACAGGCGAGGGTCTGGGGGCAGCCTCATTACTAGAGCCACTGCTGCTGCTCTGGGCAGGTTACCCCACACCTTGCTCTTCCTGCAGTCTCTGCGTGGGGTGTCGGGTCTGTGGGAGGGGCCCAGCGCAGCCGGTTCAGCTTCCAGTGACACCTGTCACCCTGGTCCTAGCTCAGGTGAGTGTGAGGGGGCAGGTCTCTCAGGCCTTTACCCTTCACAGTGGGGAAACAGAGGAGGAGGAACGAAACAGAAACTCACCTGTTTGACCTGACATTTCAGGCCAGCACTCTTTGTTTTAAATCGTGTTCTCATAACATCTAGGTGCAAAGAGCTAGTGTGTGGTCAGTGTGAACACTTACATGGTCTTTGTGGTCCACAGAGTGAGTGTCATTATCCTTTTAATACAGATGGAGAAACTGAGGCACTATCCAGTCCTCCAAGCCACATGGCCTGTCCTTAAAGTCACTGGATTGAAACCCGAGGAGGGTGCTCTTGTCGCTATGCTGATAATAGCAAAAAGGTTTTCTTGTTTGTTTTGAAAGAGGGGCTGCCATATGGCTCAGGCTGCCTTTGAACTCACTATGCCCTTGAACAAATCGCAGTGCGGGGATCACTGGCATGTGCCACCGCTCTTGGCCATAATAGCAAATTTTACTGAGCACTTAGTATACACCAGCCACATCTTTTGTAAGTGTTGATCTGCTGGGCCCTCCAGAGCCACCTATGAGGGAGGGGCTACTGTTACCCTGATTTTAGGGAGGAGGCAGTTCTGCCACGTCATGGTCAGTGGTTTCCAAAGTGACACAGCTGCAAAGAAGTAGACTTTGAACCCAGCACTCTGGCTCCAAGGCTCCAGAACCTAACTACTTCAGTGTAGCGGTTCTCCCCTGCCTAAGCCTGGGCCCCACCTGGGAATTTGATAAACATGCAGATTCCTAACCCGCTGACTCACGCTCTGGCCCCCGCCCCAGCAGGTTGAAGTTCAAGAGCTTCGGGCTGGACTCACTGGGAGGGCGGGGTGAGAACTCAGTAGCAGGTGCCTTGGTTTTTAAAGAGTTGGAGGATCCAAAATTGTGGTTCTCAAGATCCAGGATCATGGGGGCTGGGGATTTAGCTCACAGCATAAGCGCCTGCCTTACAAACAGGCAGTCGTGAATTCGATCCCTGGTACCGATAAAAAGGAAAAAGACAAAAAAAAAAAAAAAAAAAATCCAGGATCATACAGCTGGGTGGGTAATCGAGGAAGGCCGGTGTGGAGCTTAGGATAAGCCCTTCCAGGGCAGGGCTGGGTGCCTGCCAAGGTGGCCCCAGGAGAACGGATTTTAATACAAGGCCCCTCACCCCCAGTGGTTTGCAGACCTATGTGGGGCGCAGCTGTCTGGGGTTGGGGACACCTTGTTGGCTCTTAGGGAAAATATTTGCCTTGCAGTCTGAACTCTGCCCTTGTCAGCTGCACCCTGCATTTTGAAGTGGGTTCCCAAGAGCTGACTAATTCTCTCCCCACCCACTGCTGGGGTGGGGCAGAGAGAAGGAGCATCTCTCCCCAGTTACTGGGCACTGTGCCTCGCCTCAAGGCCCCGGCTTCCCATAGCACTTTAGGTGGTATAGGGCCTCCTCCCCCTCGCACAGAGGAGGAGACTGTGAAGAAAGCCACCAGTCCAGGCCAGCCCAGGTGGAGACACAGAGACTCAGACTCAGACCTGTCTCCCTGCAATGCCTCTGCTCTCCCCACCTTGACGAGGGCGAGAAGGCTGATGTTGCAGAAACAGGAGTCGGGGTGAGTCCTTCCTGCAGGACCAGAGCAGCGACTGTGGCAGGCGGGTGGCACACTGCTCAACACTGGGAGGGCACAGGCGAGCCAGGGATCCCCAAAGACCACTGGCTCCACTAGGAGCCTACAAACAGGGCCTGCCTGGTGAGAAGTTTGCGAGTGAGGGCGGGTGTGCACACAGGTGTGGTGTTGGGGCCCCGGAGGTAAGAATGGGCCCAGCTTGCACGCTCCCATGTGGACTTTACGCCATGAGCAGATGACTATGATTCCTGGCTGTCATTTCCTTTCTGGCCTTACGTCTGTCAGGCAGGCGTGGGCCCAGGCGTGTCCTTGCTTCACTCCTGACTCACCAGACTGCCAGAGCCACTTCTCCATTCCACGAGAACAAGGGTCACCCCATGTAGCCTTGGATCCCAGTTAGCCAATAGCAGCTGGCTTTGGAGTGGCCTGTGCCCTCCACAGGGAGCCCCAGCACCGGCAGCGGTGGTGGAGTGTGACTGCTGGTGCACGTGTGCGCACGCGTGTGCACAGTGGGTAACAGAGGCTATGATCTGACCTTCGCATTCTTGTCATTTAAGGAGACCTGGAGGCTGAGTGAAGAGCAGACAGGAAATCACAGAGCCTAACCCTGCACACAGACAGTGCTTGTTTTGGATTGCAGGCCAATGGGCCCCTGATTTTACAAAGTTTCCCTCTCTTCTGGCTCAGCAAGGGGCAGTCCTGGTTCTTTCCCTGCCCATGTCTCCTGCCTGTGGGGTCTCATCTGCTGGGCACAGGCTGGGCAGCTGTGGCTGCCCACCCCAAGCACCCTTGGTGATGACCACACAATAGGGAAGGCTCTCTTCCCTCCTGCACACCTCTGCCTCCACCGCTGACCCTGTCCTCTCTCTCCCCTGACCAGCTCCACCCTGGTGAGAGCCTGCCTGTCCTGGGCCGTGGCTGTGACCTGAGGCCTGGCCTGTGGTGGCCATGTATACAGTCCAGTCCAGAAGGCACTGGTGAAGGAAGCCACCAGGTTCTGCCCAGCAGTTTGGGGGGCTGCAAGGCCAGAGCTGATGGTGAAGAGCACAGTACCTCCCCAGGGAGGGGTGAACCAGCACAGTGTGTTTGGGGACTACAAGTGGGTTAGAACTGCTGGGAAGCAGGACATGACCTGGTCTTTCCCTGTGCCCCCAAAGTGCCCTCTCATAGTCAGCCTCTGGGGTTGTTTGTGGTCCAGGAATCATAACGTCTGTGCTGCAGGCTGTGGTCTCTATCAGCCTCTCCAATTTGTCCCTCTGACCCTCACCCAGAAGAGACAAGAGACTGCAGGAACACAGTTGCTTCTCCCTCCATCCATGTCTCAGTGGCAGGAAATTCTTAAAGGCAGGGCTGACATACAGTAGGCACTCAGTCACTGTCAGGACATCAGCAAGTGCTTCTCAGATGACCTCAGAGCTTCCTGGCATATGGGCCCTTTCACTACGCCTTGTAGCTGGAGAATCACAGAAACCCTGAGGCAGTAGTCACTCTCAGCACTCATGCAGCTGGAGACCAGAGAGGACTAGTAACTTGCCTAAAGCCACATGGCAAAATAACAACAGAGCTCAGACTCAAGTTTCCTGACTCTGCCTGCTGAAACCCTTATCAACATCACTCTTCCCTGAGCCCCTGCTCAGTGCTGGGTACTGCACAAATGTGATCTGTTCCTGGATAACGAATGGAGGGGGCCCCATCTCCAAGCCCCTCTAGGCCACAGCTGTTCCATGCAGAGCTGAGGGGCAGTGGCTGGTGGAGCCCCAGGGCATGGCTCAGAGCCCCACAGTCCTGTGGCTTCAGCAGCAGCTCAGACCTGGAGCGCTCAATGTCTCCCGCTGGTCTGCTGCCTGCCCTCCCCTCTGCCTTCCTGCTCACTCCCCTGGGAGGCCTCCCACACTGAGCACCCGCAGGGAGCAGGAAAGGGTCTGGCTCCCTCTCGTGCCCATTTCTCAGGTGAAGGAACTACAGGCACTTCGAGGCCTCCACTGCGCGCGCTGCTGTGGCTGACGTAAGACTTACGGCCCCTGGCCCCAAGCTCCAGGCCCCACTCCATTGCCGTGACCAGTGGCCACAGCTACATCGGATGCACACAGGCCTGGCTACCCCTTCTCTGCCAGGCTGCCTGGTGTTCAGGGTTCAGGATTCAAAACTGGAGACTCAGATCCCCCAGGCCCCATGGAAAGGTGATTGCCACACCCAGCCACGGGGAGAGAAGCCTCACAGCTGGAAGGATGGGGAGTCACCTTGACCCTGACCATCCCCATGTCTGCTCTTAGGAGCTTTATAAACATTCTAGTGCTAGGCATGGTGGCACACGCCTGCAATCCTAGCATTCAGGAGACTGAGGCAGGAGGATCCCCTCGAGTTCGAGGTCAGCTTGGAGTACAGAGCAAGACCCTGTCTCAAACGACAACAAAAAGAAAAACCTCCTCAGATCACATTAATTAAACATCAGCCAAACAAGAAGGAGCCTGGGACACATGTGCCATTATGGTCCCCATGTCACAGACAGGCAAAGGATACTTCAAGACACTACATCCTGACTAGAGGTGAAAGCACAGGAGACAGGAGTTCCGAGGGCATCTGACTGGGGTGTTCTTGCTCAGCCTCTGTCCCCCTCTGTAGTCCCTTGTCCAGGGTGTAGCCTGCGGCTTGTGTCCTCCAGGTCGTGACTGCTACTGTTCCCCTCCCAGAAACACAAGCCTGGTGGAAATGGTGCCTTGTGAAACATCCCTGCTATCAGCTCAATCCTGCCTGCACTGTCTTCTGGAAAGGTCACTGTGAGCATGGGAGGGTGAGCCTTACATTCAGCCTACAGCTGGAAGAGCGAGTGGGGAGGTAGGTGTGCCCCAGCCAGGCGGGACTCTGGAGAAGCCCACTGCCCAGCACCGCCTGGCCCAGCATTCCTCGGCCCTGACCACGTGACTGCGCCACCATGAATGCTGACGGCCCAAGCTGCCATGTGCCGGCCGAGTCTGTTCCGCCTTGAGAGACAGCTACTGTCTGCTTAGCTCTAGGCCCTGTGCCCCACCAGCTGCTGGGTTTCCTGTGGTAGCGCACATGGGTACTGCCCCCACTGTCCCCATGGTCAAAGCTGGAGCTGGACACATACTGGAAGGCACACAGTGGAAGCCAGGGAGGCCTAGAGCCTCTTGGAAGGGAGCTGAGGTGTCCTGGGGTGAGGTGTCTGGGACCAGCATCAGACAGAAGAGGGCCTCTGGCAAAGATGGGCAGCTCGAGGCCCAGGCAGGGGCTGAGAAAGCGGCAGGGTGGGCTGCAGGAGGCCCGGCCCGCAGGGATGGAGTGGCAGTGGGATGTGGCAATAGCTTGGCTCATGAGAGACCATGCAGAGGCCCGGCAGAGCCCCGGCTATGGAAAGCTGCAGCTCTCAGCCCAAAGCCCAGGATTCCGCCGGTCCGCGGGCTTGGATGAAGAGATACAGCCAGCACGAGGACGCAGCGACACCACTGGCGGCAGGGATGAGGGTGGCAGCAGGATCAGGGCAGCACAGGGCAGGAAGCCAGGGCACATGCAGGACACTACGGAGGCCAGGAGCAGTGAGTGGACCTCGTAGGTCTGGGAGGAGGTGGAGTGGACACAATCTGATCTGGAGGGAAGGCGTGGGTACTTTTAGTAGGTGGAGGTACAGGGGCACAGAGACAGGTATTTACTTGCTGGGAAAAGCACGAACGTGTGATGAATTGGCCAGGATGGGTGTGTGATGTTGCGAGACAGACCTGGGCTGGCAGCCCTGCTAGGCTCCAAAATAGGAGAGCAAAGCTACAGCTGGTCTGGGACGGAAGGGGAGGCGCGCTGGCGATGCATCCCACAGGCCAGGGGACCCGTGGAGTCTGGAGGGGACTTCGCGGACTAAAGGGGTCCTGCCACCGCCTTGCCAGGGTGGGTGGGAGGACGTCACTCACCTGCTGCCCATAGCCCAGCGCCTTGTCGTAGAGTGCGAGGCCGGCCACCAGCACGCGGGCGCGCTCCTGCAGGCTGGCGCAGCCCACATCGAAGCCGTGCGCGTAGCCCTGCTCAGCCAGGCAGCGCGCGGCCCGCAGAGCCTCGGCCCCGCTGGCCTCGGGGTTCTCGTCCAGACCCATGAGACCGGCCAGTCGTGCGGCACACGCCTCCTCCTCTTGCTCTTGTCCCAGTCGGCCATACACGTGTGTCAGGTTGGCCCAGGCGTTGAGGTTACCCGGGTCCTCGCGGGCCACCTCGAGGAAGCGCTCGCGGGCCTCGTCCAGTTCCTCCAGGTAGAAGGCGAAGACGCCAAGGAGGTGCTGCACCGCGGGCCGCTGCGGGCCGGTGGCCAGCTCCAGCTCCCTCCGCGCGCCTTCGCGCTGGAGCTGCAGGTCCCGGGCGCGCAGCGGGGCCGGTGAGCACGGCTCGAAGTTGAGCTGCATCTCCAGGTGGAAGTGGCCAGGGAGGTAGTCCATGTCCCCGATGAGGGCGTCCAGGTCGTCTGGCGCAGCCTCAGGCTCCGCCATGGCTGCCTGGCTGCTGCCTGGCCTCCCCGACCCCAAGGTGGTGGAGCACAGAGGAAGGGGCGGCCCCGCGCAGCCCCGCGCAGAGGCCCAGGCTGGGCCGGCCGTGGGGCTGCCAACCGACTGGGAGTCTCTCGGTGGGTGGGTCTGAGCGTCCCCAGCCGGAGCGGAGGTGTTTCCGCTTTCGCTGCTCAACGGCCCTTAGACGTGGCATTGCACAACCAGGTGTGGCAGAAATACAGGTGCATTGTTGACTGCGGACGCACCAGCCCTGTTCAAGGCAAAAGGCAGGTTCTGCCTCTCTGCTCAGTCTCCAAGGAGGAAAAGGACTGGCCCAGGTCACAGGGTGGGGCGGTGCCAGGGAAGCCTGGAGCCCCATTTTGCCCGAGGCCAGCAAGGCCCTTCCTCCCCCGGGCGGTGCTCACTCTGGACAGGCCCTTGTGGCGGGACACTGCTGTCCTGCTCTGTCCTACCCTGGCCTCTGTCTTACTCCGACTTTCCTTGACAGTCCCTCCCCCGGGGGGAAGGGAGCCGCCCCAGGTAAAGCTGGCCAATCTACCTGTGGTCCAGTTTTCTCTTTCTGGCCAGGACCCAGAGCCCTGCCCTGAGCCTGCAGGTGGGGCCTGCTCCCTGCCACGGGCAGACCCTCCACAGCCTGCCTGTGCCCCTCAGGACTTGGGGCCCCTCCTCCTCACCCCGGGGCTGGGCTCTTTCCCTTCAGTCTCACCCTCTTCTAAAGGAGACCAGCATTTTGTAAGAGGAGAAGCAGCCAGGTAGTAGACTTGGGGGAAATATTTAACTTTAGCAATAAAAGAAGAACCCAAAATATTTTAATGCCATTTTTACCTGTTAATTTTTAGACATAAAATGTAATACATGTAGCAGTTTTCACCTAAAAAATACACATTCCGGCCATCATGAAATTAAACTTGTTCTCTCACCTGCTTGGAAGTATTGGCGATGGAGTCCCAGAGGGTTTGGCAATATTATTATTATTATTATTGCTATTATTTTGAGACAGGGTCTTGCTATGCAGTCTAGGCTGAACTCGAACTTACTATGTAGCCCAGGCTGGAATTAAAGTCATTGCAATCCTCCTGCTTCAGCCTTCTGAGTGCTGGGATTATAGGTGTGTACTTGCTGGGTTTGGCTTTATTTTTAAAAAATTGTTGCAGCATATACTTTGCTTAAAAGCTACTGCTGTAACCATTTTTAGGCAGTTCAGTGGCATTAAACACATTCACCCTGCCATGCAACCACCCCATCTTCTGTCTCAATTGGAATTTCATATCTGTTAAGCAATAGCTCCCCACTTTTTCCTGCCCCCAGCACCTGCTAATCGCCATTCTGCTTTCTGTCTCCCTGCCACTGACCACCCTCGTACTTCACTGCAAGTGGAACCGTATGGTAGCTACCATGTCTGCTTAGCCCAGTGTCTGCAGGGTTATTCATGTCGTAGCATGTGTCAGACTTTCCTTTTTAAAGACTGGGTAATATTCCACTGCATTCGCGTATCACAGTTTATTCATCCACCCATCTATTGGTGTACACCAGGTTGCTTCTAGCTTGTGGCTGTTGGGAACAACACTGCTATGAACAGCCAATTCTGTCCTGTATGTGTGACAGAGGCAGTGTGTGGGTTGGCCTCCCTGAAGGGAGGGTCGCAAGATAATTCTGTGTTTAATTCTTGGAGAACTGCTGTAATGTTTTCCACAGAAGCAGTACAGTTTTTCTCTCTCACCAGCAGTGAACAAGGATTTCATTTTCTCTACATCTTTGCCAACATCATTTTTTCTTTTCTTTTTCTTTCTTTTTTCTCTCTCTCTTCCTGTCTTTTTTTTTTTTTTTTTTTTTTTTTTTTTTATATCGGTACTGGGGATCGAACTCACAACTGCCTGCTTGCAAGGCAGGCGCTTATGCTGCTGAGCTAAATCCCCAGCCCCTCTTCCTGTCTTTTTGAGACAGGGTCTCACTATGCACTTCAGGCTGGCCTTGGGCTTACTTTGTAGCCCAGGCTGGTCTTGCATCTGCAACAATCCTCCTGCTCAGCCTCCCAAGTGCTGGGATTACAGGAGTGCACCACCACACCCGGCCCATTTTCTGTCTGGATGATAACCATCCTCATGGGAGGGCCTGGCTTTTGTTTTGGCTCTAAGAAGATGAGGAGCAGGAGTCAGGATGGCATGGCAAGGGCAATGCTGGTGTTTCAGCTGCAGCACAGGAGCTCTGAGATGCCATCCAGTCCCATATCCACTGTGTGCCCCTGTGGTGACCAGAACCATTATCTCTTTTGCCTGAGCCTCAGTTTCCTCTCCCTGTGCAGGATGGGGCAGAGTGCGGCAGTGCCTGGGAGAGAGTTAGTCAGTTGCCAGACAAGGAAGGTGGGGTGTGGGTGGAGGCTGGCTACAGGGCGGCTGACTCACCCGGCCTGTCCCAGCCTGCATGGCAGCACAGGACTCATGGCCCTGGCTTGGGTCTTCTGCTTGCTCCTGCTGAGTCCTGGGGCCCAGGAGTTGACTGTGGAGGAGACACAGAGAGCAGCTTCAGGCTCCAGTGGGTCGCAGCGACATTTGGGCCAAGTGGGCTGGTCCAAGGGCCTCCCAGCACCCAAGCTAGTGCCCAGACACCTTGAAACAGCTCCTCCTCCAGGCAGCACCCACCCCAGGCCCTGTCCATTCAAGGCCACCAGCAGGGACGCAGTCGGGAAGGATGCAAACCCTCGGCTCTGGGATGGTTTGTGGGTCAATGCAAGTGGGGCCTGCGTTCATCCAGTCACTCCTCCCTCAGCAAATGTTTGCAGACACGGCTGTGTGGCAGGAATGGGAGACTGTCCAGCCTGAGGGCATCCAAGCAGCCTGAGGGCATCCAAGGGCAGGGGTACAGTGGGAGCACACACGTGAAGCTGCTTTCCAGATGTGCTTCGGGGTTCAGTTTATAATTCTCCACCAGGAAGCCCTGTCGGGCGGTCCACCGCCTCTCTTGAGCTTGACCAGCTGTGTGGCCACTGTTTCTCCACAGGGCAGGCGCTGTGGGCTGCAGGCGCTGTGTCTCCCCGGGGGTGAAGGGTCGGGGAGTGGGTCCCTGAAGTCCTGCAACACTGGGCCCAAATCTCCAGCCTTGTCCTGCACGCCTAGTCTGTTCACCCTTCTGCCTCCCCGCAGTGGCTGGATGGCCCTTCTCTGGTCTACCCGTTGCGGGGCCTCAGTTTGCCCCAGGTCAAGGTGAACCTTGAGGAAGCTTCCTCTCAGAGCCCAAGGTGCAATCAGAAGCAAGTACCCTGCAAAACTTCTCCAAAGGTCGGCCGAAGGCGCCGCGCTAACAGCAGGAGGCGCCCGTGCATCGGCCGGAGTCTCCAAGGACCCCGCCCGCGAGGAAGCGGAACACTGAGAAGGGGGCGGGGCGGGGCGGGGCGGGGCGGGGCGGCGCCCGCGGGTCATAAGGCTCGGGTTGCCTTGGCAACCGGGAGTTCTCCAGGGGTGGCCAGCGGGGTGGAGGCCAGCGAGGTGGCGGTAACAGGCGCATCATCGTGGCTCCCGTGGAACTTCGCAGTTCGGGGGGTGTGAGCACCTTTTCGGCAGCTACAAAGGGGTTCCAAGGGGCGCCCTTCGGGGTGCAGAGCCACAGGTGGGGCCCTCTGCACGTGTGCTCTCGCCCTGTCGCAGCCCTAGCCCCTCTCTGAAGCTAAAGGAGGAGGATCCTTCTGCCAGCTCACTCTGCCTGCACCCCTCCCAGGCTCTTTTCCCATCCTGAATTCTTTCTTTCTTTCTTTCTTTCTTTCTTTCTTTCTTTCCTTCTTTCTCTCTTTGCGATGCTGAGGATTGAGCCCAAGGCCTTCACGTTCCCAAGTCCTTTATATACCTATTAATTTTTGAGGCAGGGTCTTGTTAAATCGATAAGTTGCCCAGGCAGGTCTCAGTCCTTTTTGCCTCAGCTTCCCCGAGTGCAGGGATTACTGGGCCATGCCTAGTTTCCACTTCCTTTAGTAAATTCTGGAAAACCATTTCCTGATCACCTACTATGTGCCAGATCCAAACAACAGAACTGTAAAACCCTGAACTCAGGATTTACATTCTTTTTTTTTCTTCTTCTTTTTGTTTTTTGGTGGTACCAAGAATCAAACTCTGGACCTTGTGCATGCTAGGCAAGCACTCTAGCTCTGAGCTACATCCTCAGCATAGAATTTACATCGTTATAGGTGGGAGGCAGTGGATAATTGACTGAATATCTGTGTATATATAATGGGATCTGTGGGGTAATAAGGGACTGGGAGAAAAACCAGACTGGGGGAGGTTCTCGTGGTGGGGCCAAGGCTCACTGACCAAAGCCTTCCTGGGCCAAAGCCACCTCCCGGGGGACACCCACTCCTCCCTCCACCCTGGGCTGAGCAAGCTCTGGTCAGGAGTCGGGGCGTTGGGCTCCCAACGGACCTCTGTCCTCCTAGGTTTGATGTCTCCGCCGTTTATCCCAACCGGAAGAAGTACAGCAGCTTCACGGAGGTCCCGTACTCCCGGACTCACTCTGTGGACGTGGTAGGTGCACAAGCCTTCCCGCCTCCTCTGCTCTCAGTGAGTGACTGTGTCACTCCGAGCTGAGACAGGGCCAGTGAGGAGGGGGTCATGGTGCCCGTGCTGGGGGATCGCCTGGTGCCTGCCCCAGGGCAAGGGTGGCTTGGAGAGGACTTGCTGCGGGGTGGCTTGCCTGGGGTGGCCGGCCCACTCTGACAGTGCTTCCACTCAGTCCCACATAGGCCCTGGGACCTACAGCATCGAGGAGACCTGCTTCAGCAGCAAGAAGCTAAAGAAGGAGGTGGGCACAGGCTGGGCCCGGGCCCAGGAGGCTGCCCGGCTCACCCAGCTGCCCCACTTCCGGTATGAGGCCCTCTTGAAAGAGAGGCAGCTGCAGGTGAGGCCCGCGGTCACTGTGGCCCTCGACGTCCTCCTTGCCATCCCTGTAGGAGCACTTCATCCCTGGCTCCTTCCTGCGTGGCCGTTCTGGCCTTTACAGTTTGCATCCTTCGCTCCTTCTCCTGGGACAGGTGCAGAAGCTGGGGCCCGGCTCCTACAACTTCAAAGACTTCCTGGAGGAGCTGCGGCAGAAGCCGTGCAGCACTCGGGGGCTGCTTAGCTCTGGGGAGACCCGCTTCTCTGGACTCGTTGGGGTATGTGGCCCAGCAGGTACACTGCTGAGTGCACTGCTTGCAGGTCTGACACATGCTTCTCTGGGCCCTGCAGGCCCGCCCGTGGCTCCTGCATGTTCCAGCAGGGAAGGTCTGATTCTGCTGGGTCTCCAGCAGGATGTCCAGCATCTGTTAGGTGCGGGACAGATTCCTCTACCTATCCCTCCATCTAGGAGGTAATGAAATATCTATTAAATGCCATGGACTTCCAGGCCTCAGGGAGCCAGCAGTGAGCAGATGAGGCCCTCATCTTGCAGAGTGGACATCCTAGTGGTAAAGACAAAGGTGCCAAGGAGGAAACGTGTAGGTAACCAGAGCTTTGAGGACAGTGACACAGGGAAGGGTCAGACAGTGCCGTGGGGCAGTGTGCAGAGTGCTGTCCAGAAGGCATCTGGGGGGAGAGGCGGTTTGAGCAAACCCTGCAGGTCCTGAGTGGCAGCTTCAAGACATCGACTCTTGATTATGGCATCTGTGTTGTGGTGTCCAGGTTTGGGACCAGGAAGGCTGAGACTGCAGATGCTTGGCAGAGGAGACAGTGTTCATCCCCAGAGCTACGGCGAGGGCGGGTGGTCACTCATTGCCCAGTTAGGGAGCAGGTGCATCTTCAGGTGCAGCAGCTGGGGACAGGGACATTCTGTGTGCTGTCACTTCCCAACTAAAGTGTTATTAGCTGGCACTCAGCAGAGCGTGCAACCCACACTGATTCACCCTCACAGCAGCCCTCTGGTGTAGGCACTGCTGTTGTGTCCACTTCACAGATAGTGCAGCTGGAGGTGAGAGGGTGTGTGACCTCAGGTCGGGTCACAGAGCTGCTAGGTGGAAGCAGCAGGGTTGGAAACCGAGATGTCCAGTCTGCAGCTGCTGCGCATTCCCGGAAGGCTCAGCATGTGTAGCTTTGGATTTTGTTTCTTAGTGTAGAGGACAGGATCTAGTGTCAGGGCTCGGCCCAGCTGATGGCAGAGAAGTTAGGGGACAAGTGGAGCACTCTCTCCCTCCTGTGTCCCCAGCCTCCAGCATTGGGGCACTGTTTGCTGCTTCTGCTGGGGGGCCTCTGCATCTCCCCCCATAGCCATCTTTGGGGATCTGTCTTAGTCTTTGAGATCTGGCTTTAAAAAGAAACTTACAAGTGACTGATGATTGCTTTAGTCTCTCCTCCAAATCATTCATTTCTCTCTGGGACCCAAAGCTCCACTATGGCTCCATTCTCCTTCAAACTGTGAGCTTTCCTATGAGCCCAAGTTTGATGCTAAACCTTTGAATTTGAAAGTCTTTTTATTTTATTTTATTTTTTTTAAATCAGGCAGGGTCTCACTATGTAGGTCAAGCTGGCCTTGAACTCATGGTGATCCTCCTGCCTCAGCTTCCTGAATGCTGGGATTACACGCATGCTCCATCACACACAGCTCAAATTTGAAAGTCTTAAGGAAGAAATGAGATTATGTCAACAATGTGTCTAGCACTGATGAGATTAGTGCTGTCCATGGATGTCCATGGCACAGCCTGCTTCAGGACCTGCCAGGGATGTTTTCTAAGGAGGACCTAGTACACCGTTTAGAGGCCCAGCTCTCTGCCTCCTCTAAAACCCACCAGGTGCAGGGAGCCCTGTAGGAGCAAGGCTTACCGTTCCCCTGGGCACAAGGGAACACAACCCTGGTGGCCTGGCTGTCCTAGGCCCAGATTTCAGGTCACACTGGGCAGAACTGATCCATCCATAGAGTGGCAGTGACTCCATGTGGCCAATTGGTGCACCTGCGGGCCTGTACAGTGACCGTCCTCCCTCAGCTACAAAGACGGTGTGCTGCACTCGTGTCCACCCGTTCTTCCCCTCATCCGGAGCCCCACTTACTTCTGGTGGAGAAGCCCCAGAGCCAGGGTCGAACCCAGGGCTCTGGGTGCCTCTGTGCCCTCGCTGTCCGCACGCACAAGGCTGTGCTTGGGGCTGCAGGGGTAGAGGGTGGGGCTGGCAAGACCTCTGAGTGGGGCCTCCCATGGTGCCGGGGAGGAGACTTCCATCCCAGGACAGGGGTGTCTGGGCTGGCTCTGCAAGTACTGAAGGGGTTTCCTATAGTAACAAGCCTAGGGGCCAGCCGATGGGAGGTCATGTGGAACAGAGGGGTGTGGGAAGCAGTCAGCAGCCCTGGAGTAGAGCTGAGCTGGAGGGTGAAGGTGAGCAGCGGCGGAGGCCCCCAGGGATGGTGTTGAGTGTCAGGGCTTCCTCAGATGAATCAGCACCACGACTTGGGCTGATGGCCTTTATCTCTCTACCTCCTGCCTGCAGAACTACTACCCAGGCCCTGGGAATTATGGAGAGAAGGGCAACCCATACACGCGGCTGGAGGAGAAGGCCTGGAACCGGTCCCATTCCGAGGGCCTCATATGCAAGATGTCCAGCAAGCCTCCCCCCATGCCTCATCAGGTACCCCTTTCCTGGCTAGGTCTCCCCACACCACCCTCGAGGGAAATTCAGGAAGAGGGGAGACTGAGGTCCCAGGAAGGCAACGGACCTGCCTCAGCACTGTCCCCCTGCTGTGCTCCAGGGGAGCGGCCTGGGACCCAACACCTACTCCATCAAAAGCAGCATCGAGGAGTACCTGGCTCGCTCTGCAGGCACCCGAGGGCCCTACGACACATTCTCTGGCGACAGAAGCAAGCCCCTGCCTTATGGACATTACTCTGAGCAGGTGTGCGCCTGGATGGCTCTTGGGGCATCTCCCCTGGGATGGCAGACAACACTCAACCCCAGCAACACCACTCTGTGTGCCAGTGCTGCCGTCACACCTCCTGCCAGGACAGACTATGCTGAGGAAAATGACACTGGTACAGCATGGCAGAGGCAGAGCCCAAGGGCCTGGGTCCACTTCCTGGGCCAGCTCCCTAGGCCAGCCCAAACTGGGCTAAGAGTGTAGATGGACCACCGTGGGGGCACACTGGCCACAGGGTCTTCAGGGACCGTGAGGACGCAGGTGTGGTGTCCTGCTGTCTGGGAGGCGCTTCTCAGGCCGGGATGGCTGCTTCGTGGCCGTGTTCTGTTACAGGAGGCAGGCAGAGGCCGAGTGAGCCAGGAAGGGAATGCAGCTTTAGCTCTCTGGCCTCCCTTCCTGTTTCCATCGAGTTTCTGCTCTGTATTCCATCCTCACTACTCAGCTCCCCAAAGCTCCACCTCTGAGTGCATGAGGTTCAGGCAGACATCTAGATATAAGCCTGTGCCTTGTGACCTGGCTGCTCCCCTGGGGCCTCCCAGACCTCCTGCTGACCAGCCACATCCTGCTCAGCTGCAGGGGCCCAAGGGGCCCTGCACCCTTAGCCTCCCCTCTGAGTGACCAATCACTTTGTTTACTGCAGTAGAATGTATTTACAGTGATTTTAGGCTCACTGTGAAATTGAAAGGGAAGCTCTGCCTCCCCCACCATGCAGCCATCCCCACTTTTCACCCCCCCCCCCAGGGGTGTATTCATTCTGGCCAAGAGACTCACAGTGATCCCATCCTGTTACTCCAAGCCTGTAGTTTAGAAGGACCTTGGGTCTTGGGTGTTGACAGATGTGTGACTGTGTCTCCCACTGTGGTATCTTACGGAATTGCTCCACTCTACTAAGAACCCCCTGTCTCTGCCAATCACTCTGGCTTTTCATATTTGGATTTAGAATGGTGCCTGACTCCTAATGTCCAATGAGCAGGGCAAACAAGAAGGAACGGATCCAGGCGGCTGGGTTGGTTGCCGTGTGTGTGTGTGTGTGTGTGTGTGTGTGTGTGTGTGTGTGTGCGCGTGTGTGCAGGGACCGACCCACCCCGACTTGCCGGTGGGTGGGAGCTGGGGCATTCATTTCCACTTAGTTCTCCTGGGCCTCTGCCGCTGGGGGCATCCCTCAGGCTGGGTGGTGAGTGACGCTTCCTTGTCCTTGCCACTGGACTGAGGGGGTGGGCATTGAGAAAGGGGTCTCTCCATTTCCTTGGCTTAACATTTCTCTCTATTTTTCAGAAAAAAAAGCCCAGGGAGTTGATGAATTTCAAGAGTTTTGTGGAAGAACTTAACTCCCCTCACAAGAAGAAGCATGGGGTGTTTTCAAAAGTTCCCAGGAACCCGGATCCGCCCCCAGAGAGGATATACTGGTCTACGCTTAGCCAGTGTCCTCGGAAGCTAGTCAGTGTGCCCTGGTGACCAGCCTGCTCAGAAGGCAGCTGTCCTTAGGGTCAGGGTGTGGGGGAGGGTGCTGATCCGATGCCTGGTCTCCTGTCATGGGCTTGCACTTACCCGTGACCCTGGGCAACAGCCTCAGTCTAGACTGGGGTGGGAATTAGATGGGGTTCCTGTAGTGTAGTGAGGTGCCTGTGTCCCAGGACATCCTGCCAGAGGCCCTAGGAACTGGGAAGAGGGCGAGGGGGTCAGCCTTCTGGGGTCTGCCACCTGCTCAGGCCAGGGAGTGGTGGGCGAGGCAGTGTCCTCTGCGGGAGGGAGAGCACAGCCATGCCTTGAGCAAGCCCTGGGTTTCCTGGGTCAGGTCCCCTGGGGTGGGGGAGGGGGAACAGGGTCCCGCCTTCCTGAGGCCTACTGGCCACTTTCCAACCCTGTTCTGCTAGGAGAGATTTCCGTTTACAGTTCACAAAAGGAAGCAGCCCTGGAAAGGACAATGGGAAGGATGTCACTCCCAGGCTGCTGTATGGAGCAGCTCTCTCGACCCACCCAAACATCAGGGTCCTCTGGGACTTCGAAAGAGACGTCCCCCAGCGGGGGTTAGAGGGGTGGCATGGGTCACAGGGGCACTGCCAACTGGCTTCGGCTGCCGAAGCCTTTCCACCTTCCTTCCTTCCTCCCCGTAGGCCACTTCTGGTCCGGGTTCCTGGCTTCCTCAGGAGACAGAATGCAAGCATGTGAACCGGCCACCGTTCCTCTTGGCCTCCAAGCGGTCAGGTGTAAGGGCTTACCAGATAATTCCGGGGATCTGGGTAAGTGGGGCAAGGTGTGGGATGGCAGGGAACTCTTCTACCTCTACCAGCAGCTTCCTCCCTCCTTGCCCCTGGGCTTGAAAGCTAGAAGGGAGCCGATGCCAGGATGCCATCTTGCTTTCTTCTTTGGTGCCTGCTCTTGCTAGTGTTACTCTCCGAGGCACAGGTTTTCCAACTTGAGTAGTTATCAGCATAACTGGAGGGGTTGATAGCACTTGGATTGCTAGGCCATGCCAGGAAGTCTGACACACTAGGTTAGGTGAGGCCTGAGACTTAACAGCTCTTTCTTTCTTTCTTTCTTTTTTTTTTGAGACAAGGTCTCACTGCACAGCCCCTGCTAACCTCAGATTTGCTGGGTGTAGCCCAGGCCAGCCTCAAACTCAGCATCCTCCTGTCTCAGCCTCCATGTGCTGGGATTGTAGGCATGGACAATCCACCATGCTTAGCTGGTGGTTCTGTGCCAGGGACCACACACTGAGAAGCAGTCAGCCAAGTGATGTGGCACCACATCTCTTATTGTTCCTGAGAAATCCCCTGATTTTCTTCCCTTTTCCTTGTCTTGGGTCCCCTGGAGTAGCTGGGGGATTGGCCTTTTCTTGTTCTGGTTGAGCAAGTCCCTCTTCTGCCCCTTCCTCCCCTTCCCTCTTCCCTGTCCTTCCCTGGGATGTGTGACGTGATCTTTAGGCTGTGGTGTCCTTAGGTCAGTTCCTGGGTTCTGTGTGCCTGTCTCCTCCATGTACACCTTTGGCCGTGGACTTGAACCTCATCCTTCCTAGCTCCTTCCCGACTTCAGTCTATTTTCTGTTTTAAATTTAGAACTTGCAGTACTGGGGATTGAACCCAGGGATGCACATGCTGAGAAAGAGAAAGAGCTCTAGCATTAGGCAAGCTCCCCGGCCCAGTGTAGAATTTCATTTTGAGACAGGGTCTTACTAAGTTGCATGTACTGGGCTCAAACTTGCCGTCCTGAGGCATGTGGCACTCTGCCCAGGCCTCTTCTGTTTTTAAGACTAAAAGGTGCAAGAATCATAAGTGATCAGCTCCAAAAGTGGCCACAAATGGATCTCTCCTGGAGAGCACTGGTGAGCACATTCCCAGCCACCTGGATCCTGCACGTGACCCTGAGAGGTAGCTCCGCAGAAGTCTGATATCACATCAGGGAAGAGAGTCAGAAGGCAGCTGTTTATTACTCCAGCGGGCCAGTGGGACCAAGTCCCAATCACCAACCCTGAATCAGCTTTGGGTTTAGTTTATACAGAATTTGTAAGCAGGAGGAACAAAGCTGACAGCAGGTTATTATATAACTGGTTACATGGAGCAAGACACCTGTTGTCCGCCAGGTTAGTCAGAGGGGTTGTTTATCACAGGGCAGGAGGAAGTAGGGAGGGAGCTGGGCGGAGGCGTGGTTGAGGCTAAGCATGTCCTTGTCTAGTTTATCTCAGTGGGACAGTCCTTGAAAGTAGAACATGTTTATACGTCACACAGTGCAATGGAGGCGGTCAGGTTGAGTCAGGTCAGATTATCTCTAAGCTGCAGCTGGTCTAGCCATGTGTGGGCTGGGGAGCACATCTGGTCTTAACAGAGCATTGGGCTGCTGATTTTTAACTCTCTGTCACGGTGTGAACAGCTTTCTATTTGTAAGGACTCTCCTGGTTTCCCTCGGTTCCCTCTCTCATAGCGTACCCAGTCTCTGCCCCTTGTCCCACCTCCGCACCCCAGGGACCCCAAGTAAAAATGTTTAGATTCACCGGGGGTGGTCCCAGCAACTCTGCAGGCTGAGGCAGAAGAATCCCAAGTTTGAGGCCACCTTGGGCAACTTCGTAAAACCCTATTTCATAATAAAAAGGGCACAGCTGCGTTCAGTCCTCCTACTGAAGGGAAAAGGAAAATAGTTTTGTGGATTAGAACCAGTGTCCACACTGCCACCACAACACTGGCCTGAAGTGGGAAGGGCCAAGGTAAGGGCTGGGTTCAGTGGTGGTATGGCCCAGCAGAGGGCGCCCCCAGACAGAGGGCCTCTCCCAGGAGGTGGCTGGCCAGATGCTGGCCTAGACTGGAGGCCCTCACTCCTGCTCTGCTTGCCCTGGTGCCAGTCCTGTCCTGCCGTAACTCTGCCCTCACTGGCACGTCTCCTCTGTGAACCTCTGGTGGCTGCTCTCTGGGGGAATGGTACCATAGGAAGGGCCATGTGTGTTAGGTGGTTTAAAGCCACAGAGAGGAGCCTTGCCCCAGCTCCAGAAGCTGGAAGGCTAAAATCCAGGTTCTGTCAGGGCCAGCTCCTTCTGAAACCTGCTTGTTCCCTGCCTGGTGAAGGCATCATGCCCATCTCTGTCTCCGTGTGCGGCTGATTTTCACGAGTGCTTTTTTCTCTCCTCCGCCTCCTTTACCTTCTCTTTCTTTGGCACAGGGTCTTGCTTTATAGTTCAGGCTGGCTTGAATTTGCTCTGTAGCTCAGGCTGGCCTTGAATTTGTGGTGACACTTCTGCCTCAGCCTCCTGAGTGCTGAGGCTGCAGACACACACCATCTCACCTGGCCTGGGTCTCTTAGAAGGATACAAATTACAACTTTTGGTGTAGCTCGCTGTAGAGCACTGGCTTAGTGTTTGGGAGGCCCTGGGTCCCGCTCTGTTCCAGTATGACCCTGTCTTACTAACTACATCCGCAGCGACCCTTTTCCCATGTAACTGCCATTCTGAGGGACTGGGGTCAGGACTCCATTAAATCTTCTAGAAAGATACAGTTCAGCTTCCAAGTGCTGGGCAAGGCAGGAGCCCGGGGACGGGAGTGGGTCAAGGTTTGGTCTGTGAGCCAGGCTTGCTGATCCCTGCTGTCCCCTGCCCCCTGTGCAGAACCCAGTAGGGGTAGGCCGCTACCTCAACACCACGCGGATGGAGACCAAGGACACGCGGCAACGGTACCGGTCCCTGTACTTGGGTGCATCTAAGCGCTACCCTGCAGACCCGGCCTGGGACAAGATCCTGAAGTGAGTGTGACCAGAGTGGCAGGAGAAGGTCAAGGAAAGGAGAGCTGGCCTGCAGCTGGGGTGGGCTCCCTGCCTTTCAAGGAGGTGGAGAGGCGGAGTTTAGATCCTGCCTGTGCCGCCCATGCGTGTGTGTGTGTGTGTGTGTGTGTGTGTGTGTGTGTGTGTGTGTGGGGTGGGGGGACTTCTCTGATCCTCACTCCAGTGACACAGTCCAGTGAGCGGATGGTTGTGGGGATGCAAATGAGATGGTCTGACTAAACCCCTTGGCTAAGCAAAGTCCTCACTACTGTCAGTCCTCCACCCACAACCCACAGGGGCTGGGCTTGGCCTGGGTGGCTTTGCCACATGCCATCTGTTTCCTGGTGCTCATGACTCATCTCAGGAGGTTATTTTGAACCTAAAATGGAAGAGGCATTACAGGAGTTTTAGGGCAAAAATTCTGGACCTGGCTTTGGAGGGCCCAACAAATTAGGTTCCACCACCCATCCCAAAACACCAGGAAGAAGTCAGTCTGGCACGGGGCGGGAGAGGAGCTGTCATCAGCATGGCCGTCTTTGGAGGACAGAGAAAAAGGCTCGAGATCTGTCCTCTGGGATGGAAAGGAACTTTGGGGTTGCACAGGAAAGGGGAACAGGGCAAGGGCTGGGAGTTCTGCAGGGTGGGGAATCCCGGTCAGGTCGTGGTCTGGTTGATCGGTGTCTCGGGACAGCTTCTGGGGTCCTGGGAGGGTCACCTGCAGGAGAAGACAGCTGGATTCCCATGGAGAGATGGTGGCTCCGGCTCCGGGGCAGCCTCAGTCCCCACTTGGGGGTGGTCTTGTCATGGGGCAGCTGGTGAGGTTCCGCTGTTCCTGGAATCCGAGGTGGCTGCAAAGACAATGACTTAGGCCATCTAGGGACTGATCCAGGGGCTCTGGACAGGAAGGGGTGAAAGCTGGCAACTGGATGGCTCTGAAAATTACTTTAGCTACTCTTATATATCCTTTCTTTTTTTTTTTATATATATCCTTTCTTTACTCTTTACCCATATTTTCTTTCTTTCTCCTTTCTTCTTTTTGCAGGATCTTTTTATGCCGTTCAGGGTGGCCTTGAACTCACTGTGTAGCCCAGGCTGGCCTTGAACTCACATCGATCCTCTTGCCTCAGCCTCCTGAGTGCTGGGATTGCAGGTGTGCACTATGATGCCCAGCTAGTTACTCTAATCTCAGTGTCCTCAGTCTCCAGGGGGATGAGAGAGTGGAGGTAAAGTTAGGGCCAGTAACCTTGTAATACTCCTTTAGTGACAAACACGCATGGTCAGGTTGTATCTGATTGATTAGTGTTTCCAGGCTGTTTCCTGACACAGCTAATCAGAGATCTGGCCCAGTTTTAAGGCCCAGTTACCCATTAGGCACCCACAGGCCTACCCGCTAAGTCCCTTTTACAAACACCGTGACCTGCTATGTAAAGAGCACGAAAATATTATGTTGCCATATTTTATTGGTGTAAGAGGCCAACTATCACAATATTACCTCAATTTCAGAACTTTTGAAATGTGAATTAACATGCATTTTAGACTGGAGTGTTTTATTTTTGGGGAATTATAGTGAGAGTATCAGAACCAGATTTCGGAGGGGCAGATTGCTCCAGGAAAATAAACTTTTGAATGTAATTTAAAAAAATGTTTCATCAAGGTAGTCCTGTGCCTTCCCCTTCCCTGATTTTCTCCCTTGTTTTGGTGGATTCCTGAGAAAGGGAAGTAGAAGGAAAGATTTTTATTGACTGCATGCCTGGAAACATTTGTTATTTTTCTCACCTGCACAGCTGGTTCATGGTTTGCCTAGAAACAAAATTCTAGAGTGGGAATAATTTTCCCTTGGAATTTTATTTTAGCGGTGAGGATTAAACCCAGGGCCTTGGCGCTCAGCTATATCTCTAGGCTTTTTAGATGTTTTCTGATTTTGAGGCAGGATCTCAATTGTTAAATTTTCCAGGCTGGGGCAAGAGCTTGCTCTCCTCCATCCTCCGCGTCCCGGAGCGCTGGCATTAATAATGCACACACTGCCCCTGGGTTCCCTTGAAATTTTTGCTCCTTGCTTTCTAGTCTCCAGGGTGGTTGTCGAGAAGTCTGGCGACATTTGACTTTCGGTCATTTGTATGTCACCTGGGCTTTGCTTCCTGGAAGCTTCTGAGTCCTTTCTCTGACCGCTGCGTTCTGAAATCTCATGGTGATAGGACTTGGCCTCTCCATCTCTTGTGCTGGGTAGCTGGTGGCCTCTTTCCATCTGGGTACTCAGTCCTTTCTATGATGGAAATTTAATTTTGAGTTTTTGTCTTTGATGATTATCTCTCTCCTATTTTCTCTTCATTGTAGATGACACCAGATGCCCTGCTTTGACACCCTAGGATTCATTCATTCATCTTCTTACCTCCTCCTCTGCTTTTTCTGTTCTATTTCTTTCTGGCAAATGTCCTTGCCCTTGTTTTCCACCCCTACTGTTGCCTGTTACATTTTTGCCCATCATATTTTTTAATTTTAATTTTTTATTTTTGGTGCTGAGAATCAAACTCACGACCTCACGTTTGCCATGCAGGCACTTACACTGCTGAGCTAAACCCCCGGCCACCACCATATTTTTAATTTCCAAGTGCTCTTTTGTGTGATGGATTTTTCTTTTTATAGCTCCCAGTCCCATGTTATGTACAGGGATTCTTTTATCTGGGGCGTTAATTACAGTTTGCCTTACGGCCCTGGCTCCCTGCGTGGCCTCCAGTTCTTCCGGGTTCCTTTCCTTCCTCTCTTGCTTGCTCCCACGGAGAGGAAAGCGCTGACAGTGCCATGTGTGTATGTGGGCTGGGACTCATTCATTCTGTCGTGGAAGGCAGGATCTTCTGACCCAGAGACTACAGAAACAAGATGGGGCCAGGGACTGCACGTGTGCTCCCCACTGCACAGGCAAAGCGTTCTGGGGTGGGGGTGGAGTCCCCCTCACCTGAGTTGTGGTTTTGGCTAAAGGGCCTCAGCACTGGTTAAGAGAGTGACCAGGTTGTCCTAGAACAGAGGGAGCAGCACGTTTTTAAAATTTGTCGGGCTTGGCGTGGCTCTATAGTATGGTCCTTCTTGGGGTGGATGCAGGATACGAGGTGGTCATGGTCATCTTGTCTTTGCAGCTCTTGCCTTTTTTGTAGACACCCTTATTAAGACACCCCAGCTGGATGGGTCTGCGCCCTAGGATAGGGCTGAAGTACACCAGGTGCTGGTGAGACAGAGGAGAAGCATCAGACTCCCAATTGGCTCATGGGAGTGGGGCGTGTCACTTTGTTACTGGTTTCTAGGGTTCTATACAGATTCTTTCAAGGTTCTTGGTGTCCTGGGCAAAGAACTGGACAAGACCCGTGAGAAAGGTAGCAAGGATTTACATTTATTGAGGGTGGAAAATAAATCTGTTTTACAGAGTGGGAACAGAACACCGAGAAAGTTCACAGGTTAAAGGCAGAGGGTTTTTGTGTCTCTTGTTCCTTAGTCTGAAGTCAGACCTCAGCTGTCCTAGCAAAAATCTACTTGGTTTTGTGCCAGATGTAAATGAAGAATTGAAACCAGTGCCTTCTGATTGCTCTCAGGTGCAGGGTTTGGGAACACTGTTCTGCAGGTGTGTTTTCAGTCTCTGTGTTGACAGGTCACACCCACTTTCTCAGCCAGTTTCTCCCATCCTATTCTCCTGTCTTATTTCCCCAAGAGGCACAACTCCCGTGATTCTTTATGGGATGCTGAGGGAGTAGAGGTCTCTATCTTTATATAACTGCTTCCTGCTGAAAGGCTGTAAGCCCTACTTATTGGAGATAATGTACTCTCCAACTGTCCTGGAATGTTGGGCCTCACCAGCTGGGCTAGTAAAAAACCTGTCTGTAGGCAGTGAGAAATGATAGTTGGAGCCAAGGCTCAGAAGTCTTGGCGGAGTTTGCTGGAGCTTGTTTTAGGGTCTGGCTGGTTTTTCCAACCTTCTGAGGACTGATGTCTCCATGTAGAATGAGATAGTACTTTATTCCTGAAGCCTTGGTCACTGAGTTACTTGAGAAGTAAAAGAAGATCCATTGTCACGCTGAAGGGACTGGAGTGGTTCACACCAGGAGGCGATGTTTTGGAGAAGCACTTTTGACTACCTCCATATCCTTCTCTGAATGGGTACAGAAGCCCTCGCTCTGACCTCTAAAGGTGTTGATATTTGTTTATGTCCCCTTCATGGTGGTGTGTGAGTAAAGTCTAGTTGCCAGTCCTCCCCAGGGTAAGTCTCTCTCCTCTGTACAGTTCTAACAAAACAGGTGATTTGGGTTTTAGAGTAGGCATGGAGTGGGCAAGATTTGCAGACCTGTTGGGTGATTGCTGCTGGTCCTAGTCTTATGAGAATTCAAATTTGAGAATTTGAACGACCATTTCCAATGTAACATCTCTTCCCATATGGGAAGAATTATGAAGGGTTTTAATAACTTCCCATTGTGTTCCCTGAGGAAGTTCATTTTCCAGATACCACCAAGGTCCCTTTTTGATTCCTTCTTGTCCTGAAGGTCTATTTATCTTCCCACAGGGTGTAGACTGATTTTAATGGCTCCTCAGGAACTGAGAGTGAGGCTAGGGTCTTGAGAAGCTGTAAGGCTGCCCTTCACGCCTCTCTGTCAGCCTTGTGAGGTCCCAAGGAGACTAGACATATCTCTGTTGTGTCCCTTGTGGCGAATAATAGCAACCTTCTTGAGAAGATAGAGTGCCTCTAGGAGTTGCATAATTTCTTTTTTATGCTTTATAAATGATTATTAGCTAGCAAGTCCCTTTCTTTCTGGATTGTTGTGTGAGGCTGTAGCACCAGAAAGGAATGCAGTCTGGGTAAATATTTATCCCCTTGCCTTTTCCTAATATCAGTGCCTGAGTAAGGGTAATGAACTCTGTTTTTTGAGCAAAGGTCTTCAGGGGAAGAGATTTGGCTCCAAGACTTGTTGTAAACTGGCAGCTGCATAAATTACCTTTTAGTG